GTATTTTTTATGGCAGACTGATAATGTTTTTTAATGACATTTTGACGATGTACGATACTACGACAGATTGTTGACAACTTTTATAATGAATATTATGACACTATGACTGTGACGTTTTTATGCCATGTTGGACACCATACTGTACTAGGACTTTTTTATGGTGTTTTGGACGTCATGCTATACTATGATATTTTTACGCTATTTTGGATGCTGTACTATACTATGACTTTTTTCGCAGTTTTGAAAGCCATACCATACTGTGACATTTTTGATGAGATTTTTCTGACATACTTTTCTGAAACATTTTTTAAGCAGTTTTGAACGCCATACTATACTTTGTCGTTTTTATGCCGTGTTGGATGCCATTCTATACTGAGAATTTTTTATGCTATTTTGGACGCCATACTATATTATGACGGGGTTTTTTCCGCAGTTTTGAAATACATCCTTTACTATGACAATTTAATGCAGTTTTGGACGCCACACTATATTTTGAAGTTTTTACGCAGTTTTGGACACCATACTATATCATGACGATTTTATGCCATTTTAGACGTTTTTGTGACTTTTTGGACGCCATACTATACTATAACTTTTTTATGCCATTTTGGACTCCATTCTATACTATGACATTTTTATGCCATTTTGGACTCCATTCTATACTATGACATTTTTTATGCCGTTTTGGACTCCATTCTATACTATGACATTTTTTATGACTTTTTGGAAGTCATACTATACTATGAAGTTTTTGTGAATTTTTGGACGCCATTGTATACTATGACGTTTTATTTACTTTTTGTACACCAAACTATACTATGACAATTTTTAGACTTTTTTGAAGCCATTCTATGCTATGACAGTTTTATGACTTTTTGAACGCCGTACAATTCTGTGACGTTTTTATGTCGTTTTGGATGCCATACTATACAATGACGCTTTTATGAATTTTTCGACACCATACTATATAACATTTTTATGACGTTTTCGACGCCATACTATACTATGACAATTTTCAGACTTTTTTGACGCCATTCTATGCTATGGTTATTATGACTTTTTGAACGGCGTACAGTTCTGTGACGTTTTTATGCCGTTTTGGACGCCATAATATACAATGACGTTTTTATTACTTTTTGAACGCCATACTATACTTTGACGATTTTCAGACTTTTTTGACGCCATTCTATGCTATAACGTTTCTATGACTTTTTGAACGCCATACTATATACTATGATGTTTTTATGCCCTTTTGGATGACATACTATACTTTGGCGTTTTTATGACTTTTTTGACGCCATACTGTACTATGAAATTTTTAATGACATTTTGACTACATGCTATACGATGACATTTCTATGCTATTTTGGACAACATACTATACTTCGACATTTTCATGCCATTTTGGACGACATATTATTCTATGACATTTGTATGACTTTTTGGACACCATACTATAATATGTCATTTTTTTGCAGTTTTGAACGCCATACTATACTATGACGTTTTTCTGACTTTTTGGATGCCATACTATACTATGACATTTTTATGACTTTTTGTACACCATTCTATACTATGACATTTTTTCGCAGTTTTGAACACCATACTTTACTATGACGTTTTTATATTATTTTAGACGCCATACTACACTATGACATTTTGATGACATGCTATACTATGACATTTTTATGTCATTTTGGACAACATGCTATACTATGACATTTTTATGCCATTTTGGACGACATACTATACTATGGTGTTTTTATGGCATTTTTGACGCCATGCTATACTATGATGTTTTTATGCCCTTTTGGACAACATACTATAATATAACATTTTTATGCCATTTTGGACGACATACTATACTATGATATTTTATGACTTTTTGGACACCATACTACACTATGACATTTTTGATGCCATTTTGTCACCATGCTATACTATGTCATTTTTTCGCAGTTTTGAACGCCATACTATGAAGTTTTTATGCTTTTTCAGACGCCATACTATAGTATGACATTTTTGATGACATTTTGACGCCATAGTATACTATGACATTTTGACGACATGCTGTACCATGCTGTACCATGACATTTTTATGTCATTTTGAACGACATGCTATACCATGACATTTTTATGCCATTTTGGACGACATGGTATATACTATGACGTTTTTGATGACATTTTGGACACCACACTGTACTATGACGTTTTTATGACTTTTTGGACAACATACTATACTATGACGTTTTAATGCAGTTTTGGACGACATACTATACTATGACTTTTGTTCATGGTTTTGGTCAACATACTATACTATAACTTTTGTTCATGGTTTTGGTCAACATACTATACTATAACTTTCTTTCATGATTTTAAACGACATACTATAATATGACCTTTTTATGCAGTTTTGGACGACATACTATACTATGAGTTTTTTATGCAATTTTGGACAACATACTATACTATGACATTTTTATGCAGTTTTGGACGCCATACTATACTATGACTTTTTTTATGCAGTTTTGGACAACATACTATACTATGACTTTTTTTCATGATTTTGGACAACATACTATACTATGACGTTTTAATGCAGTTTTGGACAACATACTATACTATGACCTTTGTTCATGGTTTTGGTCAACATACTATACTATAACTTTCTTTCATGATTTTAAACGACAGACTACAATATGACTTTTTTATGCAGTTTTGGACAACATACTATACTATGACATTTTTATGCAGTTTTGGACAGCATACTATACTATGACATTTGTTCATGGTTTTGGTCAACATACTATACTATAACTTTCTTTCATGATTTTAAACAACAGACTATACTATGACTTTTTTATGCAATTTTGGACAACATATTACTATGATGTTTTTATGCAGTTTTGGACGACATAGTATACTATGACATTCGTTCATGGTTTTGGTCAACATACTATACTATAACTTTTTTATGCAGTTTTGGACGCCACACTATACTATGACGTTTTGATGCAATTTTGATCGACATACTATACTATGACTTTTTTTTTTTCAGTTTTGGACTCCATATTATACTATGACTTTTTTATGCAGTTTTGGACGCAATACTATACTGTGATGTTTTGATGCAATTTTGATCGACAGACTATACTTTGACTTTTTTATGCAGTTTTGGACGCAATACTATACTATGACATTTGATCGACATACTATACTATGACGTTTTAATGCAATTTTGATCAACATACTATACTATGACTTTTTTATGCAGTTTTGGATGCCATACTATGACGTTTTGATGCAGTTTTGAACGACCTACTATACTATGACTTTTTTATGCAGTTTTGGACGCAATATTATACTGTGATGTTTTGATGCAATTTTGATCGACATACTATATTATGACTTTTTGACGGAATTATGATCGACATACTATACTATGACATTTTTATGCAGATTTGGACACAGTACTATACTATGACGTTTTGATGTAATTTTGATCGACATACTATACTATGACTTTTTATATGCAGTTTTGGACGCAATACTATACTATGACGTTTTGATGTAATTTTGATCGACATACTATACTATGATGTTTTGATGCAATTTTGATCGACATACTATACTATGATGTTTTGATGCAATTTTGATCAACATACTATACTATGACTTTTTTATGCAGTTTTGGATGCCATACTATTTTGTTCATGGTTTTGGTCAACATACTATACTATAACTTTCTTTCACGATTTTAAACGACATACTATAATATGATTTTTTTATGCAGTTTTGGACGACATACTACACTATGACGTTTTTATGTACTTTTGGATGACATACTATACTGTGACATTTTAATGCAGTTTTGGACGCCATACTATACTATGATATTTTTATGCAATTTTGGATGCCATACTACTATGACTTTTTTATGCGGTTTTGGACGACATACTATACTATGATGTTTTTATGAGTTTTTGCACGCCATACTATAATATGAAATTTTTAATGCCATTTTGATGCCATACTGTACTATGACATTTTTGATGACATTTTGACGACATACTATACTATACTATGACATTTTTTCGCAGTTTTGAACGCCATACTATACCATGATGTATTTATGACTTTATAGACGCCATAATATACTATGACATGACGTTTTTATGACTTTTTGGATGCCATATTATAATACGAAGTTTTTATGAGTTTTTGCACGACATACTATACTGTGACTTTTTAATGCCGTTTTGGACGCCATACTTTACTATGATGTTTTTTGTTTTGCTATTTTAGACGCTATAATATACTATAGTAAGACATTTTTGATGACATTTTGATGACATACCATACTATGACGTTTTAATGCTATTTTGGACGACATACTATACTATGACGTTTTTATACTATGATGTTTTTTATGACTTTTTGGACACCATACTATAATATGATATTTTGATATTATATGACATTTCTATTCAGTTTTGGACGCCATAATATACTATAACGTTTTTTTTTTTGACATGTTTGACACCATACTATGACATTTTTATGCCATTTTGGACGCCATACTATACCATTACATTTTTGATGCCATACTATACAATGCCCCTAATTACATACTGCAATTTGAAAAAAATTTTAAACTCCTTTTTTAATTATACTGTAAGTTTCACAACATTTTTACATGTGTTCAAATGTAATTTGACAGCCATTCATTGACTAAGATTTCAAATGTACAACATTTATTGAAATTTCTGTGTTGGTAGTTTTGAGTAAAAGACCTTAATACTACTTCCAACACTTTATCTCTGCAAATTCAAAATCTGAAGTCTTTAGATGGTTGGTCAGATAAAGTGTCACCCCTTGTATACTGTGTCCTAAGACTTTATAGACCAAACATTTGATAAGTGAATAAAAACAATTAATATTAGTTGCAGTCCTAACTGAACCAAAAAGCAATCTAGCAATAAGACACCCAACAAAACTACTGCAATTTAAATGGTCATATTTATTGTGTCAGTGCATATCTGGAAATAAAAAAACAGTAAAAGAAACGGTGGCAAACAAAAACTACAGTAATGTAGTTCAACCATGAAACTGTTTCTGAACTAAATGTTCCAACCGAGAACACATCACAGCCCTCACACAAGCTAACACAGTAGCCATATATGATCAATGTGTCACATTACTTACACAATTCATCTGTACAGCTCATTTAATAAAGTGATGTAAACTACTTGATACTCTGTTCAGAAAAGAAACAGACATTTGACAAAACGGATTAGAGGTGTGTGAGGTCAAAACTATGATGAAATCATGTGATGAGTAAACAGTCACCAAACTCAAAGTGCTTGCAGAAATACTCAGTCACACCTGTCAGTATCAAGTTATTCCGTAAATGTGTTTCAATACTGACAGATAAGCTCAGTGTGTTAAAAATTAAAAGCTTTGTTGCACGCATGTGTGTGTGTGCACTCACAGTGTGTAATAAAACAAAAAGTTTAAGGCTAACTCCGATATTTCCCGACCTGGACCACATCTTTCCATGGTTTTGTGTCTAAGTGACCAATAGGCACAACAATATTTGAAATTCATCTAGTATTGAGTGAGACCGAAGCAGTCAGCGGTGGTGAAACAGACTACAGTGGCAACTATGCACCGTCAATTTACAGGCTCAGATTGTTATTTCAGTGTCTAACAACAATGTGGAAAGGATCCTTACAGACACTGACCTTTTTGTTAGAGTAAGATCCTTTTTGTTTGTACAGCAACAGCCTCTACCAAACACACCACACTTTATTAAATCTAACAGCAATTTAAGCATGTATAGAGCCAGCCAGACAATAGCGGACCAGTTTCAAAAACTGTTTTTCCGGTAAGTATCTTAGACACAAAAACATCGGAAAATAGGATTGAAAGGTTGAAAAATACCAAAGTTGCCCTTAAGGCGTAAAATAAATTAAAAATGTAGAAAGAGACTCCCTCACTGACCAGAGGTAGTCCTCAGGTCGCGAATTCAGACCATGCGCCCTGAAAGCAGGACTTCTAATCGGACCTACTGAAGTTACCTTAAAAAAATTAGCAGACATGTAGCTTTAATTCAACTGTACAGATACTTAAAACTGTGAAACAGTGGTAACAAAGCCTGGACCAGGAGTGTGAATCTTTGTCAAAACTGAGATCTAGTGTTGCAAACTCACAGCTACTATCACTGAAACCTGAATGACACATTAAGTTAAACTAAAAAACAGTCAACAACTCCTACTCTTGAGCCAGGCGTGAGGACTTCTAAGGCAAGCCTTCACTACAAAGTGGGCCTCCATGAGGAGAGAGGTAGGCAGTACAAATACTGCACGACCACATACTGTAGCTTAAAACACAGCCAGGGTGTGCAGGGTGGAAATCGGGGGCTTTGTAGATAAAACATGTCATCTTACAGTTAACCACAAACCGCATGACAATTTTAGGCATTTCTAAACATGACAAAATCAATTTAGGCACTAGTTTTGATAGATGATCTGATTAGTATCAACGTCACTGTCATTCAAAATTGTAATGCCCAATGTGATGTCATTGGTCCATGTGAGGGATCACAATAAAAGCTCACTTCTGTAACTTTAGGGACTTGAATGAGAGTGGCTGGGGCCATGTAGCTCACAGGAACAGCTCTGGTAAGCAGACGGCATCATTAGTGACCAGCCGTTACGCCGCCATCTCTTCTTGGTCGGGGCCGACTCCTATAGAGCCAGGCGGCATAGGGAGGAGCTTCAGTGAGGGGAGCGCTTCCCCCTAATGAATCAGCCAGTAGGAAGCATAGTGACATTCCATAGGGACACCCTCTTGCTCTCACTCATTGGTCTTCTTCAGGACAGAGGGGGTGGAGTCTGCGAATGTCCTGACAGTGACAAGCAATAATAGTATGATTGCATTTTTCTGAGACTCAGTGAGCTCTGAATGTGATGACTTTTTTGTCTTTACCTGAGTGGGTGGAGCGGCCAGTTGGACTGCACCGGTGTTGGCGCTGCAGAGCTGGGGCTCATCAGCATAGCACTGTAGATGTTGGCTGCAACTACCAGGATGCAGAGGAGGATGGGCCCGATGATGGCGCCTTCCAGACCCAGATAATATGCTCCGCCTGCCACTGCCAAACCTGTCAGATACGGGTGTCCACCTCTGAGACACGTACACAAGAAGACCAGACAACAAAAGTTATGGCATAGTATGCTATAAAGAAATGCCATAATGTAGTATGTTCAAAAAATGTTCGAAAAATGCCACAGTATAGTTTGTCATAAAAACGCCATTGTATATTCATAGTATGTCGGCAAAGTGTCATCAAAAAAAGTCATAGTATATTATGTTGTCAAAATGTCATCAAAAATGTCATAGTACAGGGCATCTTCAAATTAGACTTGCAAATTCCCGGCGCGTCGCATGATTGACATCGTGTAACATCAGCAGCGCACACACACACATGTGCAACTCACAGCTTCGGCGATGTGAGGAAGTGAAACATGGGCGGCTTCTCACCTTAATCATTCACGCACACCAATCAAAAGATAGAAGGAGAAAGTTGTTAATTGTCCGTGTTAAACTGAACTGTGGAGCTCTCACTGCTGCCATAGTATAGTATGTCCTTGAAATCCTATAAAAGATGTCATGGTATAGTATGTCATGAAAAATATAAAAAAAACAGTCATAGTACAATATGTCATGAAAAAAAGTCATAAAAATGTCACAGTATAATATGTCACAAAAATGATATGAAAAAAACAAAAGAAAACATAGTATAGCATGTCATGAAAATGTCGCCAAAAAAATATCATAGCATTGTATGTCATCAAAATGTTATTAAAACAATGCCATAGCACAGTTTGTCATAAAAAATGCCACAGTATAGTATGTTGTCAAAATGTCATCAAAAAATGTCATAGTATAGTATGTCCTTCAAATCCTATAAAAAAAATCATGGTATAGTATGCCATTAAAAATATAAAAAAACACTCATAGTACAACATGTCGTGAAAAAAATGTCACAGCATAGTATGTCACAAAATGATATGAAGAAAAAAAAAGACATAGTATAGCATGTCATGAAAATGTCGTCCAGAGATGTCAGTGGTGTATGTCATAAAAATGTTACGAAAACAATGCCATAGTGCAGTTTGTCATCGAAAATGTCAAAGTATAGTACATCATAAAATGTCTTTAAAAATTGTCATAGTATAGAATGTCATCAAAAATGTCGGTATACTATGTCATGGAAAAAATTGTAAAGGTACAGGACGTAATAAAAATATCACCAAAAAATATCATGTCAAAGTATATTATGTCATGGAATTGTCATAAGTAATGTCATAGTGTAGTATGCCATAAATTACATCATAAAAATGTTATAGTATAGTATATCATAATAAAATTTCATAGTATAGTATGTCAAAAAATGTTGCGTCATAAAAGTGTCATAAAAAGTTATTACATAGTATGTCATAAAAAATACTGTAGTACAGTATGTCATTGTAGCTGCATTACTTAACAAGAAACATAACTTTAATTTTAAAAAAATAAATGCAGCTGACCAATCTTAATTATTAACTTTAAGGCTATTGAAATTGATTTACACATAACGCTCAAAATGACTGAACCGTAGCCATAAATGCAAAGTTTGCCTTTGAAAATACGTAATAATGTAAATTATGTGTGACTGGAATTTACTGGACTGTGACGAGAAAAAAAACAACAAAAAGCTGTTTTTAGTAAATGTGTGCAGTGTGAGTCTCTTTACCTTAGGCCTCATCTCAACTTGTTATTTTTGTGAGACCTAATCATAAACAGGAAGAACTTATTAAAGGAAAAACAGATGGCGACACGTGGCCAGGCTGCCAGCAGCAGCTGAGATGGAGCATTATCTGTTCCACTGTTGTTGTTTTCATTTGGTCTCTCTCAAACTGCTGTAGCAAATGTACACACTGCTTATAGCTCAAAGAATAGTTTCCTTTAAAGCCTTATTTGGGTACATTTTGGGTTTGTAGAAATTAATTGGTTAGATGTTGCTACGAGGGGAAGCTGAAACAACACAAACACAAGCCGGTGTAACACATACATACCCTGATATGTCAGAGTAGATAGCTGTATCTACGAAATACGTTGGAAGCAGATGGAATGTCAGCAGCAGCACGGCCTTGACACCTTCGCCCTGCACCAACCACAAGTCGCACACTGCTGGAACCGCTGCCCAGTAGGTCCCCAGGAAGGGCACGGCACCCAGGATGGCAGCCAGAGCTTCAGGCCAAGAGAGAGGAGTTTGAAGAGTGAGAAAACAGACTGTGGCTTTGCAGGTACAGCTTAAGTGACGGTGCGATCTGCTGCGAACACGCTGACTCACCAGAAGGAATGAAGACTATGTTGATGCCAAAGATGGTGTGAGTGAGCCAAGTGAAGAGGCCGTAGAAGCCAGCCATTTTCAGAGAGGCGTCGAACACTCCTCTGCAAAACAAACACACAGGGTCAAAATAATCTCATTTAGATATTGTTTAAATAATTTCTGTGTGTGTGGCTACCTGATGGCTTCCTCTACAGACTGGCCGATGATGTTTGAGGAGGGTCCCGGCTGGGAGAGGGGGGTGAGGCTGATCACCCATTTGACAGGTTTGTAGTATTCACCACTGGAGCTCAGCAGGTAGAAGAGAGTAGTAAGGAAAATCACCTGTGTGTGAATGGCAAAAGAACAAATATAAGCAAGTTTGCTGCAGCAAAATAAATTCAGATTATCCATCCTGAACTCGTGCCTCGGAAAAACACATTAAGAGAGCCCTGTTGCACATTTGGCCAGTTTACGTTACCACTAAAGCATGTACCACCAAGAATAATCATGCCCTTTACAGACGGATCAAACTTCAAGGGCTGTTACAAATGCTTTCATTAAGACCAGTCTGCAGATTTGTTGTAACTTCTACAACTTCAGATGATTATCTGCACTATCCAGCGTTAGAAATGTATGTAATGGCTGCCAAATGCCAGAGATTATTAATCAAGTTGTGATCATTGCTTTAACAGGATAACGTGGTGGTGTGTCGGTATGCTGGGGAATGAGTAACATTCATAGAGGTTTCAACAAACAATTGTATTGTAATTCCTGATCTCTGCTGAGCAACAGATTGTGTGACATGAATTAAAGGCCTGTCCCAAATAAATTTTACGGTATTCATATAAAACCTGCTCAGACTACAGAAACTTTAACTCGCTGCTCGTCTCACTGGCGTTCGTTTGAGTTGAGCTTGACACCTTGACTTCATCCTCTGTTGTTGCTGCAATTCTTTCTCTATTACTGTTTTTTCCTGTTCTTATTGTTGTTGGCTTCGGTATTCAATTGTTGTGGTATTTTGAGCCTGTTCAGCCCTGCAGTTTTTTTTTTAAAAAAATGTGCTCTACAAGTAAAGTTTGACTCGACTTTCTGTGACTGGTTCTTGACAAAACAAAGACGCAGCAAACTATTTTTTGTCTAAGTGCAAAATGGTTTACCTCATCACAGTGTAAATTCTTGCTGGTTTTAACTTAAAATGAACAAGCTCATAAATAGATGTCAATAAATCAGATAAACAGCGGGTCATTTTGTGTTAGACGTCATAATTTGGTGCACATGAATGACACATTACAGAAAACAAAGGAATGTGCAGGAACATGCAGGAACATAAAATGTTTCTTTGAATTGCTATATGAATAAATGTGATATTGATAGTGATACTGTACATTTATACTTCTTCATATATGCATAAACATACGCCTTTTGGGTTTTTAATTTTCAATGTAATTTCTGCCTATAATTAGTGAATGTTCAAGTGTGTAATTGTCAAACATGAACAAAGGTATTGATGAAATCTTTTGAATGCCATGACTGTCTGTGAACATTAGGTCCACATCTGATGAAATTTTTAACATTATTTCCTGAGATGTATGTAGTAAGGCAGACGCTGTCCCTGTAAGTCTAAGGCCGCGATCACACAGAAAGTGTTTTAGCAGCTGGAGGCAGCTTTTGTAATTGTTTTTAATGAGAATTATTATTAGAATTGCTAGTGTTTCTGCACTCTAGGCGCTTAACATTTTTGCCAGAATGCTCTGAAGTCAAGTTGAAAAACGTCAACTCAAAGTGGAAAAACGCCCCATGTCATTTCTGTTTTCATCGTCTATTTCCCATCGTCCAATCTGATGATTTGAGTGGCGATCTTCTGTGGTGGTCACGACAACAAGTTTACAGTTGGGAAACAATGGAGGAGAAACTGGTGGTAGTGGTTGCTGGATACCCAGAGCTATACGGCCCGATGATAGACAGCAGGTTGTCAAACTGCCCCTGGGTCATTCTAAAATATCATCAAGAAGAAGCTCCTGGACCAACTGGTGGTACTCCCCGTGATCCACCCTCTTTTTGAGGGTCTCATGTACCCACACAGATCTCTCTTTCATTGTGCCCAACAAACTATTTACTGACAGCCTCTCACCCTCAACCAGAGCTACAGCATGTACCCTCTGTCTGCACATTTTAGGAACTAGATACTATTAACTGTCAAAAAACTAAAATGGTTGTGTTTTGTTCTACATCAGGTAAGAGCCTCAACTAATGTTTTAGTGTCTCATACCAGACTCAGGGCGAAGTTGAGCAGAGCCGTGCCGCTGTGGAACAAGACGGTGAGGAGAGTGGTCGTCGTGGAGATAAGGAGGCCGACGTTTCTGCTCATCACCACCCACAGAGACTCCAGGATCTACAAAAGAATTAGACGTATGTCAACGATAAATGGCCTGCAGTTGTCATAACACCCAGTGTACACCAATAGGACATGCTAAAAACCTGCCCATATGGTATTTCACCTAGACAGGCAAGGTGTCGCAGGACACAGCATTGCACACTTTCGTGAGCTTGTGACTGTGCTGCTGCCAGAGGAGCTGCTGAGTGAGTTCTCTCTGAGCGGTAAGTCTCTAAAGGAGTCAGAGAAGTCCGGGGCTGTACATAAAACATTCAGGATGCCACAGTTTATTCCACACTAGTGAAGCTGCTCCTCTTTTAGGAACCATGGTGGCGTCTTGGCTCCAGGCCATGCTTGTTGTTGTCATTGAAATATCACAAGTATCATGATATGAATTTTTCAAATCATATTAAAATTTATACCAGTATTATCACGAACGACATGATATGGCACACCCCTAGTACAAAGTTCCCAGTATAACCTTATAATGGTCACCTTGAGAATTGATTAGCAATCAGGTAAAAGTCATTTGAAGAATCTGCAGGGAAGTCTAATGTTAGTTGCAGTTGTTGCTGTGCCAGCAGGACAAATCGATGATCATAAAAAAATAAAAATCATCTTCTATAAATGTAATCTTGGGGTTAAAGGTCTCGTGTGTAGGATTTAGTGGCATCTAGTGGTGAAGTTGCAGATTGCAACCAACTGAAACTTCTCCTGAGCTACTGTGGCAGACACAAAAAAAAAATGGAAAAACAGGAAAACGCCAATGGCCCTAACTAGAGCCAGTGTTTGGTTTGTCCATTGTAGGCTACTGTAGAACAACATGGTGGCCTCTGTGGAAGAGGACTAAATATAAACAGCTCATTCTAAGGTACACAATGATTCTTCGTTTTAGGTGATTATAAACTACTGAAAACCTAGTTCTAAATATTATATTCCATTTCTGCCATTATGTCCACCTAAATGACACAAACTGGACCTTTAGGGCAAAGATTCGGTTATTAAAGTACTTTTTAGGTTATGGTTTTGCTAGCTTAGCTAACAAGTGACAAGATGACCCAGTGTGAGCCAAAGAGAACATGTATTAGCCACACAACACTCTGTGTGATGGCCCTGTCACAGGAGGCCAATCAGGGTCAAATACAAAGTAAAAACAAATGATGTAGCCCCCTCGAGGCTTTAGGCAAACTGTATTAAAATGAAGTGTGTCCCAACATGACGATGGGCCAACACATCTATAAAAGCAAAATATATGCAAACTCAGCACCTGCCTCATACAGAAGCTGCTGTTAATTAAACACGGTCGTACTCACAGACAGCAGAGTCTCAATATTTTCCTGCACAAAGGAGGCGATGTCCTTCCAGTCCAGGATGTCCACCAGCCAGCTGTTCCCTCTCTGAACCATCATCTTCTGACCGCGGTGGCGTCCGGTGAGGGTCATGTTCTGGAAAATGCATGGGACATTAGGCGCATGATATTTTTAGAGGGCAAGTCTGTCCCCAGCATCAAGAGGTTAAATAGACACACAAGGCAAACACAAACCACCTTTAAAACACAAGTGCCATTAGATTTTAGAGCTTCATATTTAGGTTATATCCCCCCGTAAGAAAAAGGTACTGACAAATGTTAATATATAATAATAATAATATAGTGTGAGAGAGGAGAGAAATAAAAATCTGTCACTGTAACGTGTGCAATTATGTGAAGCCAAACTGCCACAAGGATTTGTATTTATTTTATTTTATTTGAACCTTTTCCTCTCCCTCTCTGGATGTGTGTAGTTGTGTTAAAACTGTCTATCCAAATGAAAACAAGGCAGAGATTACACTTGCAGTACAAGGTTTTTTCTTAGTTTTTTCTCCACTGCTTGTATAACCATTTGTATTGAGTCTGGATGTGATAATGTAAAAAGCGATATAAAAACAAAAACTGTCCTGACCTTCACAAACCACGAGTGGTACAGTCTGTCCCAGAGCTCCAAAACTTGTTTCTCGATCACAGCTGTGTTGTTCACCTTGTCTCCTAACATCTTATGGAGCTGCACAAAAGGAGGAAGTTTCAATGCGTAACAGGCGACTCGAGTATTCAGTTTTTGCTTCCATATTTTGAGTCAGAGAAATCGATTGCAAACATATAGGCAATTATTATTCTTACCTTTTGTGTTATCCATTCTCGACCGTGTTGATAGACATTAGTAGCAGCTGAATTTAGAGCCTTCTGCACCACACGAGCCTCTGGAAGCCAACTAGAGGAGGACAATGTCAGAAAAAGATAATGAGAAATTATAAACTCCAAACTAGGGCTGAGGGAAATGGGGAATAAATAATGTTTTTTTTAGGCTACATCATGATATACAATATGTCTCCACATTTTTAACTCTCCTCTGAACTACTGTAGACAAATAAAATACAATAAACAACCTGATAAATCACAATTACAAAAACATTAAATGAGGCAGCAATTGTTATATATACATTCATTCATTCATTTTCCATAACCGTTTATACTGTTGGGGATCACGGGAGGCTGGAGCCTATCCCAGATGACATTGGGCGAGAGGCAGGGTACACCCTAGACTGACTATCATAGGGCTAACACATAAGCCCTATTTCCACTGAGCAGTACAATTCAGCTCAGTTCGGTATGCTTTTTTCTGTTTCCACTGTGAAAAGTTGTGGATGGTACCAATGGAACCGTTCCGTACCATGCCCATTTATGCCCCCCCCCCCCCCGCCCTCTGTTGGGGTACCTAGCACACAGATCTGGTACTAAAAGGTGGAGCTGTGAACACTGCAGTCTGATTGGTCAATAGAGGACAGTCCCTCTGTACAGGGCTGAGTTGTGGCTGGTTTTGAGGCTCATGTAACCACTGTTCATCCCGTGGAGAGTTTTATTAGTAAAGTGTGACTATAAAATAAAAGATGTTTTGCTGCCTCTCACAGCAGCTGGAGTCTGGGCCGATTGCCAGCACCTTTTAAGGTGGAACGTTAACTTGTAATGTTACTCAATGCATGAGCCGACGACGTGAATCCATCGACTCACCTTAAATTTCACTGTGACAACGTTGACCATTACTTTAGTTTTTATATGACATACATTTTTAGTAAGTGGATCAAATGTTAATATATATCAACTCAACTGGGACGGTAGATATCCAAATCCTCACTCAGAGAAAAGAAAAAGCATCACGGAGCGTCGTTCCTGTGGGCTACAGTAACACAAAACCCCTGAGCTTGCCAGAGAGGGACTAAATGCACAAACTCGCTATTTTCAAATATCCCACGGAGAGACTCACTGCAGCCTGTTTTGTTCTGAAAATGTTGGCATGCAGCCTCGTTCTGTGGACGATAAACGAGGCGCAGACTTCCCTCTGTTTCACCGGTAATGAGGAAATACAGTGGACGGAGCAGTGAGTGACAACAACCCCGCCCACATTTAAGGGTACTGTTTGCGATGGAAACGCTAAACGGACCCAGGGTCTAGGTACCATGTCTGAAGGGTTACTTTTGGTTCCAAAGGTACCCTACCGAAAATGTTTGGTGGAAACAGGGCTATATAGACAGACAACCATTCACACCTTTAGAGTCACCAATTAACCTGCGTGTCTTTGGACTGTGGGAGGAAGCCGGAGTACCCGCAGAAAACCAAGGCTGACACAGGAGGGAGCACAGTGGTGTAGTGGTTAGCGCTGTTGCCTCACAGCAAGAGGGTTCCTGGTTCAAACCCTGGGGTGGGGGAGCCCTTCCATGCGCAGTTTGCATGTTCTCCCTGTGTCAGCGTGGGTTTTCTCTGGGTACTTAGGCTTCCTCCCACAGTCCAAAGACATGCAGGAACGAAAATGTCTCATGCTGGTGGCTTACAAAAAAAAGATGCACATTATAGTCATTTTACACATCCCACGTGGAACAAGCCATTATACATTGAGAATAATCCATATATTCCCACCTCTACTCCAAACAAGAGGAAAGGTACAAATAAAAAGAGGGTAAATTGTCATACTTGGCCCATTCAGGATGGTTGGACAGGGTCTCGTTGATGAGGTTACTGGTTACGTCAATGATGTGAACACTTTCATGGTGAACCTAAAGACATAAAAGTTACTTTGTCAACCAAGACGATGTCAGTGCCTCTGAAATACAGCGAGGTAATTCAAAAGGAACAACAACAGTACCATAGCAGTGAGCAGCAGAGCCATGAGCAGGGTCCCTGTGACCAGGAGGAAGATGATGAAGATGCTGATGATTTTATCCAGAGATCGCTCCAGCCACACGACCATCTGTGCACATGAAGAGGAGGACGACATAGCAGAAAGGGGGGAAACACAGAGATAGAGATACAAAGTCAGTGCAGTTCTGAAGAGGCTGGAAACATACAGTGATCAGACACATGGAGAAACCTGTGTCCTTCCCACGTGAAGATGCCATTTTGGATCTAAACGCTGCCTCGCTCGGGCCCTGAGAACAGTAAGGCTGAATGAGCCAGGATATCTGTACACATGCATGCACACGTTCTTACACTTAAACTGGGAAACATGCACGTTCAGAACTCTCTGTCACTACCTTTGATTTTAAAACTGTTGCAAATACGTCCGTCAATCTTTTGTAGTTAATCCTGTCCGGAGGGGGTGAAATTCTCAACTCAGGTTTCTCAATGCTCCAAAACTGCATCAACAGCCAGCTTATGGCAGATTTAGTCTTTGTGTGTGTGTGTGTGTGTGTGTGTGTTAATGTCACACAATCAATGTGTTAAAATCAAGGAGTCAATGGGAAGTTACTGTTAGTGGACACCTCTCTCCCATAAGGCCAAGATGGTTTGTCATTATATTAATGGTGAAATGATATGGCAGTAAAGGTCCCACTGCAGTTCAGCTACATAAACTGATTCAGTCCTGAAGTCCAAACATTATTCATAAATTGGAGTAAATTAACAGCAGCACCAAAACATCTGTTTACAAACTCTCACACAACTCGTGCAGTTTAATCCAAGTATCATTTATGCAGCTGTATGCTCAATACTCCCCAAACATGTATTTTCGTTAAAACATTACAATTTAATACTAATAGTGCCTGGGCGAGCGCATGTGTTTGACCTCTGCTTGTGCATGAGTTTAAACATACGTGGTTGACCAGGCGCACAACTAGTCCCTGCATGAGACTGTTTATGTGAAAACGTTTTAAGTAGCAAGGTCTTGGTGAAAATGGCTGTGTTTGGGAGGTAGTGAGCAAACGACTCGATGAATGAGACTTGGATTATAGATCATAGATGCATCAGTTATGTGAGACAAAGATTTCCTCACAAATTCAACGTAACACTGCATCAGTAACTGAAATATAAACTATCACTTTGTGGGTGCAGTGTTCCTTTAAGGTGAACATTTAACCTTTTTTTCTTACCGTCTGTAAGAACGCAGCCTCACTTTACAGAAGATATTTGGCAGGCTCACTGATGTGGATTGAATCCAGTACAACAAAAAAATTAGTTCACAAAAAAATGGAAACACCACATCAGCAAGGATTTATTCTTAAATTTTAAATCCCTAAATCAGGCAGCTAAACAGGCAGGTCAGTGCAGTGTCTTGAGCACCAACAAAACATCACCTGCTCTTAACGCCACACTAAAGACATTTCTGTTTAGTTGTAAAATGAGACAGTTTGCTGCAGCCAGTGGGCAGTGCTTTTGTTTTTGTTTCCAACATGGCGGCCGGGTCACAAACTTTCTCATTTTACAGCTAAACAGTACACTAAAATATGTTTCTGCGCTGCCTAGTTTGACAGTTTACCCGCAGTGACATTAGGGCTGGGCGATATGGACAAATATTCATATCTCGGTGTTTTCAGGCTGACTGACGATACACGATACATATCTCCGTATTTCCTAAGATATGGGCTATGTGTTCAGTCAAAGCCACATTTGAGATGTCACAAGCATTTTTATAAAAACAGTCTGAGATCAAAATAAGATGCAAAGACAGATTTTTTTTTCCCTGTTAGAAAAGACAGAACTGCACAACATGTAAATGAAAAACAATATAAAATAAACGCAGGGCTGTACGTTAACTTAATGCACACAGCACTGGAGCTACAGACGTATAAAGGTTTGCAGCACAGGACACTAAACTATAACATGAGTATAATAGTATGAAGTAGGCCTAAATCCACTGTAGTTTGGAACAATTAAAGTTAAAAAGTTAGTTAAAAGTCTACGGCCTTTCAAATGAATCTAGTGCTGGAAAATTATTTAAATCTTTTATTTAGGCTATTAATTTTATCCATGCGCAGAGCATCAACAGACAGGCCAAGGGAGGGAAGGATTTCATATACATCTTGTATATGAAACATCTGTGTTGTCACTGCATTTCTGTTTTAAACACATCTGTCACCTGCCTCCAGGCGATGTCTCCATGTTGCACCACAAAATACAACTACCAAGAAGCACGGCGACGCGCTATGATCCACAAACTAGCAAACAAACGCTCACCGGACACGATCAAGCAGCTCTGTCTCCCTCACATGCAGCGCAGCACTGTACTGCACGTGTGCTGCTGAGGTGATTTCATAAAACTCACAGACTGATTAAGCGTAGCACGTGCAGCATACACACTGGCCTCACACTGTAGACTAATTAAACAGAGTAGCAGCTCTGTGTCTCTCTTAAGCCCCGTTTCCACCAAACACTTTCGGGGGGAATTAGTGAGGCGGAGCTGTGCGGAGAGTGTGAGAGAGGAGAGATGAACACTGGTGTGCATTATGTAACGCAACTGGACCCTATATCAATATAAATGGTGTTGTTTAGATCTATGTCTTGCTTGTAAATATATCGTACATAGTCGTTACATCGCCCAGACCTAACTGACATGATTGACAGCTGCGTTTGAAATTCCTCAGCTCTGATTGGTTGTTTTCAGTCAGACGTGACAGATAGATTTCAGCAAAAATAAAGATGTTTGTATAAAAGTTGTCAACAACAGCTTTAAGGCTGATTGAGCCCTGATCTCTGACACACACCCTTTGTCCCTAAAAACTGGAGTGTCTAATGCTACTACATACAGTTCAGGCCTCATGTATTAACACCACAGAGAGAAGCAAAGCTTTTCTAATAAGGTACAAGTTGGTCCAAGTTGGTTTTTATTTAGCGCTTCATATTCTCAAACTGTCAGGTGTTTCCATTGTTTTGTCCAGCCCTGTTCCCACCCATACAAGCTCCTGAAGCGTAACCACATCTCTCCAAGGGGTCCGTGGGCAGTGTTTCTCCTACACCTCTATAAAAAGTTACCATCAGATTTAGAAACACTGCCCTCTCCTCCCACTCAGCTCCGCTCCGTCTACATCAGCCATCTCTCCATGCAGCTCAAACACTCTCAAGCCAAACCTGCCGGGTAGCTCGCAGCGGGGAAGATACGGACGAGGCCGAGGGAGTGAAGAGTCCCACCTCCTTGACCGTAGCTTCCGGTGAAAACAAAAGCAGGGGGCGGGAAAGCAGCGAGAGGACAGACGTGTAGACAGGATGAGAGGTTGATGACAGTGGATGGGTAAAGCGCCAGTCCAAGCTACTACAAGGTGTTGCTCACGCCTTCACACACACACCCACGCACACATACATATACACAGGTTACTTTACGCTACTCTCCAGTTTCCTCACATGCACACTCTTTCTCTCAGTCTCTCTTTCTCTCAGCACTCTGCTCCTCCAAATCATTACCTGCTTGTTAAGCCAATGCCAGAGCTTGGGGAGGAGACAAAGAGACATTGGGAAGATTATTATTGGAAAGACCTGTGCAGCAGTCATCACATGTACCCGTGCGACAAGAACACCACCTCTGTGGGCACAGGCAGTGAGGGATCAGGAAGTGGAGCATGGCAGGCAGGATTTAACTACAGAGTGAGGACTGGCGTTACAGTGGGATGCAAATCACTGTGATTATAAACACACCACATAAGTGCAACCCATAAACACCAGGAGACATCTTTTACTATAAAAGGTGTCAGCTGTGACCCATAGATTGTTTCAAGCTGACAACAACATCCTAAAGGGGTCCTTTTGTATTTCCTGTTTAAATGTTCTGCAGGGTATGTAAACAACATCAGCTGACAGGAAGTAAACATGGACCCAAGCTGTTGTCTAGCGATGCACTTTAGTGAAACAGTCTATAAAGTGAACATGTTAGCACACAGTCGTTTTCTACTTCAGCAGACACAGAGCAATGTGAACATTTATTCGGAGTCGTGTTTGTTTTCACCTGACAAAGTCCGATATTTGCTCTGTTTTAGGAAATATATGACAACATAACACTCTGAGAACACTTTCAGAGAGCTCCTGACCTAGTCTTAAAATTTCTCATAAGGATTCCCTGAACAAAAATGCATTCTTTTAAAAGATGTGACTAGTTGATCAAAAATTAAAATTAAAAGTATAAATTCACTCTCACCAATGGGCACAGAATGGACAGTGAAATCAACACGCCTAATATTAAAATTTTGTCTCTATTAAGACATGGTGTAGTTATGGTTTTAAGATTTTATAAAATTAACATCTCAGTTGAAAACATTGTAAGCTGTACTCTCAAAGTAGCCTATAGATGTTTGATAACACAGGCCTATCTGTGCTGTAGCCCATTCACATGCTGATAGATGTTATATTTATGTTTATTTACCATGCTGTTAATTTTAGTACTTAATCTAGTAATCTAGCATCTCTGATGAGACTGACCACAACCACACAAACATTATCCCTGCACTATCTAATCTGTGGTGTTTTATTAAAGGAGCAGTGTGTAGGATTTAGTGACATCTAGCTGTGAGGACTGAACATTACAACCAGCACACGTGAACTCCCAGTTAAGACTTTTTTCAGGTTTCTGTATTATCCGCAGAGGTTTCTTCCTCTCTGAAACAAACAGACCAAGTGATTTACTTTTTATTTTTTTGCATTCATTTATATTTTTAAAAGATTTTTTAGGGGCATTTTGCCTTTATTAGATGGGAAAGATGTGGCCTGAAAGGGGGAGAGAAAGAGAGGATGACATGCAGCAAGGGGCCAGAGTTGGAATTGAACCTGCAGCTGCTGTGGCAAGGATGTGGCCTTTGTACATGGGGTGCCTGCTCTACCAGGTGAGCTGATGGGTGCCTCCACAACATGTTCTTAAGGGTGCTTTCAGACCTAGAGTTGTCTTGCTTTGGTCTGAATCAGGAACTAATTTTGTTTCAAAGTTGCATAATTGCCTAGAGTTGGTTCGTGTTCTCACGGCAGCATTTACAAGCGGACCAGATCAATTGCCTTGTTGCCTTGTTTTGATGCATTGGATGTGCTGAATGTGCATATTAATGCAGTACAGGAGGAGGTGCACATTAATAATCCTCCAAGACTGTAACATGCTCATGTTTAACCCAAACAATGTGTCATGCGACTGCAGTTGGTTCAGATCCAGGTCAGAAGATGTTAAAACAAACTGTAGCCCATCTGCTTCAAGGTTGGACGTGTTGTTGGTTCAGAGATGGTCTTCTGCAGACCTTGGTTGTAACCAGTGGTTATTTGAGTTATTGTTGCCTTTCTATCATCTTGAACCAGTCTGACCATTCTCCTCTGACCTCTGGCATCAACAAGGCATTTTGGCTCACTGGATATTTCCTCTTTTTGGGACCATCCTCTGTAAACCCTAGAGATGGTTGTATGTGAAAATCCCAGTAAATACTCAAACCAGCCTGTCTGGCACCAACAACCATGCCATGTTCAAAGTCACTTAAATCAACTTTCTTTCCCATTCTGATGCTCAGTTTTTGCCATGTGCTGACACGTAATTGGCTGATTGGCTATCTTGAGCAACAAGCAGTTGAACAGGTGTACCTAATAAAGTGGCCAGTGAGTGTATATTCTCTAATATTTGAACAGCAGATACCCAGTCTGAGTGACCTTCAATGTTAATTGGCCAAACAGTCCTCAGTAGCCACTGCAGGCCTTTAATGTAGACAGTGAGGAGGAAACTACAGGAACACTAAAAGATGCACCAGTGTAACAGAAAATGTGTGTGTGCCTGGAGGAGGATGTCTGAAATCATACAAAGAGGGAAGAATGACAGCGCCTGCACCAGCAGCACTTGGAGATCAGTCAGAGACATTACCTTGGTGTCGATTCGCAGCAGGAACTGAGCCAAGCCTTTGATTGGTCCAGGCAGCAGGGCCTCCTCTCGTTCACGTCCAAGCTTCTCCAGCACCGCCCACCACGACACGAGAGTCCGCTCTGCAAAGCCCTTCAGGCCAAAGTGGACCACCAGCCTCTTCAGCACCCACACTAAAGCATCAATGCAACATTAGTCTGAGCACAGTGGATCTGAGAGGACGTATGTGACGGGGAACGTGTGTGTGTGTGTGTGTGTGTGTGTGTGTGTGTGTGTGTGTTACCAGCCACTGGGATAGGCAGCAGCTGCAGGATCCAGAGGTTGAGCCACACCTGAACCAGCACAATGGCCCACACCAGGAGAATAAAGTAGATATCACTGGCTCTGCTGGAGCTTTTCTCTTTCTGGAAGAGGCCTGCGGGTAATGAGTGCACACCATCTTTAGAGAGAGGAAACAGGAAGCACAAAGGAGGAAGTGAAAGGAAGAACAAAGTGATGCCAATGTACAGTGTAAACCACCATCGCTGAGTAGTGACGCCAAAAGCAGAAGTGTCTTGAGCTGCAGTTCCTCTAATGGCTGCTTTATCTTCAGGAAGTTAGGGGGCTTCAAACGCAATAGTTAGCTGACTTCTTCTGATGTGTATGGCTGTGATGATTTTTAACGCCTGTTTGCTTGGTGAATTGTTGACTGCTCATCCCAAATCTCCACCACACTTCCAAAAACCATGTACTACAGCATACACACTGTAACTCTAGCTATAGCCGCCTCTCTAATAGACAGAGTTTACAGTGTGCTCTCTTACCTGCAGCAGTGTCTTCTCTTGGCTCAGTTTTCATCTGAAGGTTGCTACACGAGATTGCCATGTAAATAGTGTTAGCAGCGAATGACAACACCTGCCCCGACAGCTCTCCTGAGGAGACGAACGCAAACAGACAATAACAATTACACATAGTAGTAGCATGTTTGTTTGTTTGTACGTTCCCCTCATGGTCCAAACTGTCCGCAGATTAAAGGGCAAACTGTCCACCTCAAGTTGCTTATGATTGAAGGAATGCTATACTAAGATACTGCATCACTTAATCTGATCTTAAGCTGGTAGAGGTCAAGGTTCAGACAAGACAAATGTCAATAAAGGACTTTTCAGCTGTTAAAAGGATGAGAGCTGAGGCCTGTGCTACGAAGCAGGATTTGGAGTTAGCGACGTAACTGCAGGGTTAACTCTGGGTTTCAGTACCATGAAGCTGGTTCTCTTTTTGCTGGGATAAATCACTGTGGTAACTTATGCTTAAGCATTAACCTGCTCCGGAGCAGGTCAAAGCTGATTTGACCCCCTTGACTTTTAAAGCAATAGGTTGACATTTACTGCGGAGAGTTTAATAAGAACATTGATACCACGCTCATGTCTGTACAGTCAATATGAAGCTACAACCAGCAGCCAGTTAGCTTAGCTTAGCATAAAGACTGTAAACGGGGGAAACAGCTAGCCTGGCTCTGTTGCCCAAAATCCACCTACTGTACCAGCACCTTTAAAGATCATAAAATTAACACGTTGTATCTCTGTTGTTTAACTCATACATAAACATTTACCCATACTCTTTTATACAATTATGTTTATGAAAGCCAGCTGACGGGGAGCAGAGGCTTCTCAGTGAGCTGAATAGGAATGTGTGTGAGTGTGTGTGTGTGTGTGTGTGTGTATGTCCATAAATCTTCACCTCTGCCAGGGACAGGTGGTTTCTCCTGGGAGCCCACGATGATGAGTATAACCACAATCACAAATATGGGCACTCTCCACGAGCCGGTCAGAGACACTAAAAACAGATCAGAAATCAGCATGAGTAACTGTGTATCTTCTAACTACTGTGGAGAAACATATTGCTCTTATACTGCGTGATGTTTTGTATTTCTTGGCAAAAAACTCTGGAAGAACTCTGCTGAACTCCTTCTGTGTCGGCTGAAACAAGTCTCTGTATGTTATGGAAGTGTCCTGACAGAGAACATTTTCTCAGGTTTGCCAACAGTCATGTGAAAACCCTCCTTGTTCTCATCTGGAGCCAAATTTCTTCTGAACAGCACTCAGTCACTCTTAACATTTCACGCCCTGAAGGTCAACACCTCTTTTCGGCACGCATTAAGCGTGCTATAAATACTGGAGACTTCATCATCTTTCAATGTAGCTCTGCATGTGCTCAGTCTAATGGGCTTGTAGACCTCTAGAGACAGTGTTTTATCTGGACTACAGAAACGCAGAGTTTGGCTTCATTCACTGGAACCTGCTTTAGATACCTGCTACCTGCCAAGTACGGCTGGGAATGTCCAGGTACCTCATGATTTTAATCCAATTCAGAGGACTACAATGCAACTATCGAACAATGATTTCTACACAGTGTGTGACTACTTGCTCCTTCTTAAAACATTACATATTTAAAAGTAAAATAAACAGATGAATTTACTTCCATTATCTTTTCTTACCACAGTGTGGCTCTTGTCCAGGTCCATTTGCAACTTCATAGAAGCGAAAATACTTCCATATGCTAGCTTTTAAGCTTTAAATTCATTGGCGAAAACTACGATGACATTCTTTCATGAACTCCGTGATGAAAATGAGACAATGACGAGCTAAAAACAGATCTCAACAATAAAAACTAAGATGAAATGTACGCTTCATTTTCGTTGATGAGACGTGACAAAAATGTCAGTGGTGGACTATCGGACATTGAAAGCCGAGAACGACTGTGCTTGTAATTATCTTCAAATGCCGCCTGACCGACAGGCTGTCAAACTCCAGTAAATAGTCTGCACCAGGATGTTTCGCTAGCCAGAAAAAACAATCACACTGGAGCAGCGTCAGCCGTTGGTGCGAGCTGTAGTTAAGCAGTAAATTATCAGCTGTGTGTGTCTGAGCTGCTGAATGAACTTGTGGAGTTTGTTAGTAGCAGCGGTGGTTGTTAGCAAATAGCTCCGCTCATTAGGTGCTGAACAGCAGTGGAGCTAGCAGCCACTGGCCACCGGACTTTACATCTGTTGATCCCCGCAGGACTCCACTCAGAGCCGGGCTGTGTCGGGAAGGTTTATGGGTTGATGGTGTTTGACAGGCAGGTCGGAGGCTCATTTACAGTGTAGCTGTGCTGGAAGTAAACAGTCTGAACTCAGATCAGTTAAGTTATTTTTTCTTGAACAGTGAGATGGATACATCAGAGTTTAGAATGAACCTGGGTACAAATCCTAGTTGTCTCAGGTTAGTTATTAGTGCTGTCAAAGTTTTTGAGACCATAAACAGAGATGTTGAGCTTTTCTAATGATGATCAGTGAGTGCGTGCTCCTAAATCCCTTAAACCTGTCAAACTCTGCTGGAGAAATGACAAATTGTAAGTGTGTAGAAATTTCTATACAACCTGTCGCCTTGATTCTTATTTCTGATACATGAATTACCCAGTTCTCTTTATACAAACCATGACACACACACATTTACATCCATTACATCTCCCAATCTATCTGGTTCGGCTCTGAGGAACGTACCGCCTGGTCTTATAAAACAGTTGTTAATAAAGTCGAGAACTGGATCTTAAATACCTGAGTATGAACTCTTCCCAGAGACAAGGATGGAATTTGAAAGTATGAAACAGTAACATGACTGAGCAGATACTCCAGGCTTCCCCTCCTCCCCAAACTCACCAATGTAGAAGAGCAGGACGGCCCAGACAGGAAGAGCCAGAGCCCTCAGGTAGTGCTCAGTGTGGGGACTCCACTTGAAGCAAACCGCCAACAGGTAGCCGAACACCACAGTGCACACCTGAGAGGAAACAAGAGGAGATATTATGGGTTACAATCAGATATAGCTATATACTGTAACTTCTGCTCAGCTGATGCTTCGTCCACACATGTTACTGTTTCAGTTTGTCAGTGTTTACGATTTATACTCAGAAAGAAGAGCTCGGCAATAATCCAATATTACTGCTCTTTAATTAGGTTTTACACAATTAAAGCAGAGGTCAAACTACTAATCGATTAGTCGACAGATAAATTAGTTAGAACTGATTAATCATTAAATTAATGGAACAAGTTACAATAGATATTTAAATCAGACAGGTATGTGTCATTAAATCATTTCAAGTGTATGCTCGATGATAGGGTTGTTTTACAGTGTTCCTGCTTTGGTTAGGTGTTTTTTTGTTGTTTTTTTTGAATATTTTATTTTCAAATTTTTAATTTAACAAAACATACAGAACACACACACAAACATGGCTCCAGGATGGTGTGTTTGTACGTGTTCCTGCAGTGTTTCCACATGCAGAGGTATTAAGAGTAGATGATGAGGAGGGCGTAGCTGCAATGATTTAGAGGCCCCGCTAGGCAAGATGATAAAAAGGCCCCGTGGAGCCTGTAAGGGAGGAGGCATAGCACTGGAGTGGTCCAGGTCGTACTTGGCAGATCAAACTTTCTGTGTCAGCCTTGGTGACCCTGTATCCTCCTCTGCTCCGCTCTCGTGTGGGGTCCCACAGGGCTCACTTCTAGGCCCTCTTCACTTCTCTCTTTATTTGCTCCCGCTTGGCTCCATACTTAGGAAGCATATTTTCACTATTATGCGGACAACAGTCAGATTTATGTGCCGCTTAAAAAGAATGACACATACTCTGTCAAAATGTTACTAAAGTGTCTTGATGACATAAAGGCCTGGGTGGCTCTGAACTTTTTAGATTTTAATGATATAAAGACAGAAGTGATGGTTTTTGGTGGCACCACTGGGACCCCTTCCCTGTAGATCTGGGCCCAGTTTATCAGACCTACCATCACAAACCTAGGGGTTAAAGTGGACTCTGATCTTTAGTTTGACAGCCAGATCAGGTCGGTCGTTAAATAGAGCTTTTTCCAATTACGCATTTGTTACTTGGCGGGATTACTGTAATGCACTGTATGATGGGGTTAGTGCGTCCTCCATAGCCCATCGTCAGATGGTACAGAACGCTGCCACACATCTTTTAACAGGCACACGTAAACATGAGCGCATTTCCCCCATTTTAGCCTCACTCCACTGGCTGCCCATACATGCTAGGATCCATTTTAAGATTCTTTTATTTGCTTTTAAATCCTTGAATGGTCTTGCCCTGCCCTACCTCTCTGAGCTCCTACACCCTTAGGGGGCGATCACACCTACAAGGAGGGCTAGAAACGAGACGCCAGTAAAACAACTGATTTCCCTATGATACCACGCGTCTGACTGGTTTTCAAGCATTTTTTATGACGAGCGTCTTTCTGGCATCTTTTTAGACGCGCATTCTTTTTCTGGCGTCTTTTTAGACGTGCATTTGTAGACGTTGAAAGTTGAAATAATCTCAACTTTTGGGCGTCAGGCGCCAGTAGCACCATAGCTCTGTCTCAGGGTCCATTTTCAATGTTTTGATCGCCCAGTTGCGAATGCACCCCTGCTCTACAGGCACTTCTCGTAAGGAGCGCTCATTGAAAGGGCGTTTCAGGCATTTCAAGTGTCTTTGAAGTGTCCGTGTTTCTAGCGCTACCTGTAGGTGTGATCAGCCCCTTACTCCCACCCGCTCTCTCGGGTCAGCTGATCAGCTGCTCAGCTGCTCCTGAGTGGAAGTTCTGATCTGCCTCTGCACATTAGACAGGCCTCTTCTCTGTCTGCTTTTAAATCTCTTCTTAAAACTCATCTCTTTTCCTTGGCCTTTGACACTTTGTGAGATGTTGATTTTATTTTATTGTTTTTATTATATGGCTGTTATGTGTTATGCCTTTTAATTTATTTTATTTGTATTTTATACGCAATTTTTATGCCTCATGTGAGCCTCTTATTTATTATGTCATTATTTATTCTGTACAGCACTTTGGTCCACTGTGGTTGTTTTAAAGTGCTTAACAAATAAAGTTGGATTGGAGGGAAAGACCCACAAACAGGCTCCATTCAGTGTGAACGTGTCCCACTTTACCTACACAATGGTTTGATTGACTGATTGACTGCTGCTATCTCAATATTTACCTAAACTACTGCACATTTCAAAAACATTCAAATACCTTGACGTGCTCAGACGGGACTTTCTGTCATCTAGCAGACAGTCTGCTGCCGTTCACTAATTTAAAAGAAAGCATGAAATATGATGCACCAGCAGCCTGTGATCAGCTGGTCCCACTCCACACAAAGAAATCTTTCATTGTAATTCAATATTGTGTGCGCTCCATCCTATTTATGGACAAGAGCCCTGTGTCAGTCCACTTCTGCATTCAGAGAAAGGACAGGCTGTCTGAGGAGGAGGAACGTTTAATGCAATTAGTATCTAGTCGGAGCATAGCCTGGCTCAGGGCCCTGCAGCTGTTTGGGGATAATGAGGTATTGATAGATCGCTGAAGCTGCAGGAAATATGATTAGCTAAAATACAAGTTTGGGCAAATATTCCAGGAAAATAGGTTAATGGAAAAGCTCATGTTGAGACACACTCAGGGAAATGTTATTTGCAGCATTTGTCAACCTGTTGAATTCAGTATTGTTGTTTATCGACTATTGATCATGGCATCATTTGTTTGTGTAGGGCTGCAACTAACATTTTCTTTTTTATTTTTTGTCTATTAACTTCTCAATCTTGGCTCTATATTAAAGTTCTTGTATTACATGTCTGAATTTTACAGATATCAGTGGATCATTGCTGTTTGCACATCAGTTTGAGAATCTTAAATGTGACTGTGCATTTTACACGCAGTAATGTGATCAATATTTTTAAGTTATTCTTATTACTATTGCGATATAGATTTTAACTCTATGGCCCAGCTCCTCTCTGAGCTGTCTGCAGCCTGACCTCACCCACCCAGTAGCATCCACACCGGGTGACACAGAAGGTCTTTGTCATCACCCTACGGGGATTGTGACCACTTCCCACTGTCACTGTCCACTCACCCACACAGTGTGGAAACAGTCCAGCGCGGCCCCGATGATCCAGCAGACGTGCCCGAGGATCACCTGCATGCCGATGACGCTCCAGGACAGGTAGAGGAAGTAAACTAGCGGCGCCCCGGCCCCGATCACCAGCAGCACCATGAGCCTCTCCAGCACCAGCCTGCCCATCAGCTCCACCCCGTAGTTCACACACCACACTGGGATCAGCAGGGTCCCCACCACGATGGGCGTCCCGGTTTCCTGCAGGCCGCTGAGCCACGAGCGGCCGAGCCGAGCCAGGGAGTACTTGAAGGGGTGTAGGAAGGTCCCGCAGAGCACAGCCCAGAGCAGCGGGCGGAGGAAGGCCTCCAGGATGAAGTAGACCAGGACGGCGGCTCCGCAGCATATCGCCACGAAGATCATCGCCCCCGTGTTGTAGAAGGCCTGTTTGATGTTTTTATCAAACTTGAGGGAGGACGGCTGGGTCAGCAGCTGGCTCACCATCCCGACGGCCGGCTGGACGCTCTCGGAGAAGGAGACAGAGTGAGGCCGCCCGGGGAGAGGACTCTCCGGGGGAGAGACGGCGGCTGGCTCCGGCGCCGAGTCCTCCTCGTCTGCCATGTTCCCCGATTCCGCTTCGGTAGTCTACCCGAGGGCTCCACCGCGTGAGGGAGGAAAACATGTGACGTTGCACGACGCAATGCCCGAGGGCACCACGGGAAATGAAGGCAAAGAGGAAAAAAGCTTTCGGTATTTTATTATTCCATTTTATGCATTTTAAGTTTTTTTTTTTTATTTTATTTAATGCTAATCAATTATAATAATAATAATAATAATAATAATAATAATAATAATAATAATAAAAACCTTTGATCTAAATAAATTTAATCTATTTTTTAAATATATTAAATATTACTATACTGTTACAATATACTATTATAAAACTATTATATTAGTATTTTTACATTTAAAGTGACCTTGGGTTTCTTGAAAGGTGCTATATAAATTAAAGTTATTATTTCTTTGTATTTTTTCTTTCTTTTAGGTTTAATAATAATTAGGTTATTATTATTATTATCAATAATAATAATAATGTTGAAATGTGCATTTACCGTTATCGCTATTTATTTATAATTATCATTGTTAATGATAATAATAACAATAATAATAATAATAACAATAATAATAATAAACATTTGATCTAAATAAACAAATCATGTTCTTGTTTTCTTTTAAGGTGTGGTGCTGCATAACCTATTGAGTCTATTTTATTATTATTATTATATTATGTTATATTTATTATCATTTAATGCTAATCAGTAAATCCTTGTTTTAAACTGTTTTTTAATGTTCATTTATATTGAATTGCCTTGTCTGTTTTGTTTTATGTCTATTTTCATGTGAAGCACTTTCACTTTTTCACTATTTTTTTCTTTCTTGTAGTTTATCATTATTATTATTATTATTACTATTACTATTAGTGTTGTTTAAATGTGCATTTACTGTTATTGCTTTACCGCAATTTCTTATTATTATGTTTATTTTTATAGTTATTATGAGTATTATTATCATTAGACATTTGATCTGAATAAACAAATAAGGTTCTTGTTTTCTTTGAAGGTGTGGTGCTGCATAACTATTACATTAGTAGTTTTCATTTCAGACTTTGGTGCCCCACAGTGGTAGTATTACAAAATGACATGGTTGCCAACAGCAGTGAACACCACCTTTGTCGTCAGAACAACTTATAAAGATGCTCCAATCACATGAACGTCTTACTATTAGTGACTTTAATATAATCACAGCCATAATCAGTGTTGTTTAAATTCTAAGGTAAGAAGTCCTGTTTGTGGCTTTATGGATGAGAAGTGTTTTTATCTAGTGTGATTAAAATAATGCTTTAACAGTTGATCATTAGAAGACACGTCATTATTAGCAGGTCTTTTTTATGTACATGTTGCAAAAGTGTGTTCATGGAAACCAAGGAAGCAGCCCCCTTGAAATAATGTTGATGGTTGAATATATTATAAAATATTAATTTTATTTAACTCATAATATATGGCATCTGTGAGGGGTTTCTTTTCTTAGTGGTGATGATTGCAGATTGAAACCAGCTGAAAGGAAAACGGAGGAGCTGTTAGCCTGGCCAACGTGAAAACACAAATGGCCCTATCTAGAGCCAGTGTTTGTTTTGTCTGTTCTGGGCTACTGTAGAAACATGGCAGTACAACATGGCGATCTCTGTAGTCAAAGACCCGCTCCCTATGTAGATGGAAATGAGTCATTCTAATGTAACAAAAACACAACGATTCTTTTTTTCAGGTCGTTACACACTAAAGAAAACATAGTCATTGTATTATATTCCATTTCTGCCATTACATCCCTCTATAGCCTACACACTGAACCCCAAACTACACCTAAAAAAGGCCACTGTTGGAGGTGAGTCCAAAATTTAAATTTAGTTTTTTAACATTCTCAAACATTTATTTATTTATGTTCACAGTTTTTCAAATGTAAGTTGGGGTAGACACTGATTGTTACCCTGGAAGACTGTTACCAGACCTGATTTCCAACAAAATCTAAAGTTAGCAGGCTGCTAACATTCATGCACTCTCAACATACAGAGAACATGAGAACAGTGTCCTCAGCGGGAGCTATGGTCCTAAAAATCATCTCCTACGGCCTTATTCTGTTTGACTGACGGAGCTGTTACTTCAACCACAGCATAATCTGCACTATCTTGTGTATTCTGTCATATCTTCACAGGTTTATTGATTATAAACACAACCATGTACAGATCAAAAGGCTACAGTAACAGCCTGGGGAAGTAAAAGTCCATGTCCAAGCAAACTGTTCTCCAGTCCACAGTTTGCTCCTCTTCAGTGTGTTATTGCTTACAACATTAACTCATGTAGCAGTCTCTCTCTCTCTGTTCAGTCACAGTGCCACAGTACTGATAAACCCAACAGCTACTGTGGTTAAGGAAAGGGGAAAAAGTTGTGAAAGGAAAGTAGGGAGAAGTGAGCCGAGCCACGTTATTATGAGTGCCAAACATAAGGAGAAAGTCTATGAAAATCTTTTGCATGGTGAACGCACACTGTAGGCAGTAACCTAAAACCCTGAAAACCATATTATGTGACAGTCCCTCATCATCAGCAGTGAACAGCGGGTTTTAAATAATTTCCAGGTTCTCCATAGCATGCAGTATTTTGAAGACTTTTTGGATATATTTGTCGTTATGTGCAGTCCACATATTTTTGTATTTGGAAGCGATCATAAATACTGAAAATAATTGTCTTATTTATACTAAAACATTACCCTTATCAGACCTCTTGTTTTGTACTGACACCAGTACATGTCACCTCTATAATACAGGTTTAATAATTTGCCAGAATCCTCTGTATGAGTTCAGAGCGATGAATATATACTCTATTGTGTTTAATATATCTAATACAGTGTTTCCTTGTGCAAAGTGCACACTTGAGTGCGGCTCAGACAACTTTATTTTTTATTGCTACTTCTCTTCCCGCATTTTCCCCGCTGTGCTTCATTATGGCGTTCCCATTAGTAAGTAGAAGGTGAGGGCGACTATGAGCAGTAAGCAGAGGGGAGAGTTGAAGGTCTGGTAGGCTGTAGAAGGCATGAAGATGTCCTCGTACTTATAGATGCTGATCATGTGGTCGCTGACAGGCGGACTGTCAATGTCATGCCTCGTGATGGAACCTGTTGGAAAAGGAAAGACGATGTTAAACGTCACGAAAGATAAAGACAGACAGTTTGCTTGATGCTGGAGCTCGATCAGTCACCTTGTATGGCAGGTCCCCATGCAAACAGGTAATACCACGACAGGTGTAAGTCCACAAGTGTTTCCTCTCTAGGGACGTATAACGGCCGTTTGAAGCGGCAGGTCACCCTGTTGTTCTCAAAAATGCCCTCCTCGTCTCTCGCAGGGTTCCTCTTTATTTCCTTTGCCCACTGGCCGACATTGTAGAAGTGATGAATCCGTACACGTCCGTTATCGTCATGGACACAGCCCATGACATCGTCTCCTCCCTGAGGAAACAGGAAGGAATGTAGGGCTTTATTTCTTGAAAAAAAAAACCTGACTCTGATTCAAAATCTAATTAGGACAGATGCTATTATTGTTCATGCACGTGCAGTCTACCCCTGAGTTTCCTGCCACAGAACTGTCACAAAGTGAGACTGAAGCTAAACGAGACAAGAGACATGTTTTGACGCTACAGCTGATTCTCTAAATGTTTAAAGGGTATACTATGCAGGATTGCTGGTTACTGTTTATGCTGCAACATCTCAGGGCTGCTGTGAAACTGTGCCTACTTAGGGTTACAAAAAAGTTTGTCTTGGGTGTGTCGGTACAATGGACAAACAAGAGAGGACAGCAAAAATGATAGAGTGGATAAAAATAGCAGCAAATGTTTCGTTCCCTGAGCACTGATGATAGTAAAGGACTAAAACATTTGCTGCTATTTTTATGCTATTTTTATCCTGATCCTGTGCATTTATCTTCTCTATCTCCTTTAACTTTAGCTTATATTGGAAATATGCTGTGTAGCATGTGAAATAGAGTATGGTGAATGTGCTAGGAAAGGTAGTATCAGCACAGTCACTACCTGGAGCTCGCATAAACGGAGCCTGGGTTTGTTGAAGGTGGCAGTGCTGTTTGGGCTGAGAAAGCCATGTGTAAATAAGGTAAAGGAGGTTATTGGGTTGGTACAGGGAGGGGAGCAGTGAGACCTGGCATTAGGGGAATGTCTCTGGGACGCCAGAGCCTCCTGGAGGTGTCGTAGGACCAACTAGACAAAACACTGGTGAAAGGAGGTTCACACCCGATGACCCCAAAAACATGTTAGTTATGACTGCTCACTGGTCTGTATAGTTAAGCCTTGCCATAATAGCTCATCATAGGGCTTAGGAGGTTATTTACTGAGTGCTGATCCTTTCTCTAGAGCACAAACTTCTTGTGTTTATTTGAACTTTTATTATAATTTTTTGCACTTTGAGCACCCTTTTTTGTGCACAAATGTCTTAAATAAATTGACTATTTTTGCATTGATCTCAGCCTGTGGACCTTTTTGTGACTTTCTAGCCCAGTTACATTGGTGTGTGGGTCTCTCCTCTGCCTCCCTGTCGTGGTTACTGTTAATAAACACATTCGCCAGTGAAAGTGAAATTAAAAGCCAACCCCAGATTCACTCTCATTTGGTGTTTCACCTCACTACTTCAGCATTTTTTCAGCACTGTGTCCAGTGGAGGCCTTCTGCTTATGGTCTGGCACCTGATCAAAACCTTTTTACAAAGTCCCAACCTCACCTTAACACTGTGGGGGGAACACACACATAAATGTTCCGACCACAGAAGATGAGAAAAGGTTGATATTTTTGTGTGTCCTGGCTTTAATTGTAAGCCCTCATATTTGTCTCGCCTTTACCAAGAGTGTAGATGCTGCAGAATTACAACTTCTCCCACCGACACAAAAATGCAAAAACATGAATGGTCCTATCTAGAGCCAGTGTTTGGTGTGTTGATATACACGTTTCATTCTAAGGTAATGAAAACATGATTCTCATTTTCAGGTGATTATAAACTAATGAAAACATAGTTATGAATATTTTATACCATTTGTGCCAATGGATGCCCTTAAACCATAAACACTGAGTCTTTAAATATGATGTATCCATGCTGTATTTATCATTAAAAGTCTTCCTGTACTGTGCATAAATTAGATTATGGACTATACATTTACAGTGGCACGGTCTGATGCAATAAATAAAATTAAAACACAAATATGTGTTGTGCTGCTCCAAACAAGACGCAGAGTAAAGGCAAGCTTTTGTATTTTCCAAACTGGACTATATTTTCCCATGTTTTTGTATCTAAAGCCCCGGTACAGCTCAGTTCAGTACGCTTTTTTTCCGTTCCCACTATGAAAAGTTGTAGATGGTACCAACGGAAACGTTCCGTACCATTTCCATTTTTGGTCCCCCCTCTGTTGGGGTACCTAGCACACAGATCTGGTACTAAAAGGTGGAGCTATTTTTGAAATTGGTTCAGTATTGAGAGAGACCACTACATCCGCAACGGCAAAACCGGTCACAATGTAACCCCTACAGGCAACTGCGCATCGTCAGTTCACTTCCAATAAAATAGTTTGTTTCTGTTTTGCACTGGCAGACTCAGATTGTTATAGGAGGTGTTTACAACATTACAGAAAAGACCCTACAGAGAAATTAACATGTTCTTGTATCTTCGGCAGGTCTGTTTGTTATTGTTACCAAGTGTCACTCAATGAGAAGTCTCGTCGTTCACGAGAGGTGACTTGTTGCAGGAAAAATGACAGTGGAAACATTACTGAGAGTTGGAGAGAGGAATGCCAGGTAGAGTTTGACAAGTTAAGAGTAAAAGATTTTCATTGTCATGGCTGAATATTTAGCTGATTTTGACAATGTGAAAAGTCTGAGATTTCAGAGTGAGACTTCTCTGGCAAGACTTACAAAAACAGACTGGATCAGCAAAAGGTAAAGAAAATGTCTGATTTCTCTGTAGGGTCCTTTCTGTGGTGTTAAACACTCATTATAACAATCTGCCACTGTCAGTGTGAAAAACAAGCACTTATAGTGGATGTAGTCTGAGTGGGTGGAAGTTCGCTGCAGAGATCAGCCTCTCATTGGGCAGAACGAGCCACCCGCTGAAGTCCCACCCTACCACCTCTGGTTGTGTAGCAGTTTTCAACCGTTTTCAACACGTCCTTTACTAACTTTTGTGGTGTTTGGTCTTGCGGGGATGTAGCCATTTTTCTGCCATGGTTCGCGTCCTGTAGGTGATATTTTTGTGCGCGTGTCACAGCAAAACCTGTTTCCCCCCGGCAATATTTTTGCAAGCGCACCGTTGCTGTGGCACCGCCCAGAACGAATGTGATTGGATGAAAGAAGTACAAGCAGCCGGGGTGTTTTTTTCTCCAATCTCAAAGTGAGAGTCGGCCCAGCCAGACCTTTCTTTTCTTGAGAAAGGTCTGGTGAGTGAGACTATAGTGGATGTAAATCAACGATGCACAATTGCCAGCAGGGATTACACTGCAGCCTGTTTCGCCACTGTGGCTGCAGCAGTCTTTGTCAATACTGAGACACTTAGTCACAAAAACAACATGATTTTGCCAAGAAGGACATGCTCCTGGATCAACATCCCATATCACATCCCAGGGCCAGCACTGCAATCAACCAATCACAGCCCTCTGACATCATCAGTGTGCTGCTCCTGTGCTTCTTTTAAAATTCCTTTGTGCTTCTTCAGAGCTAAGCTAGTTTTCCAAATTGAAGTTAGTACAAATTAAACAAAATCCTCAGTAACACTGACCAAAAACCATGTAAGCTACTGCAGGGTTAGCGAGTTAGCTTGCTAACTAGGTTGGCTATGCTAACAAGTAGGCTTACCAAAAGACTAAAGTGTTGTTCATTAACATTAAGAGGAAGGATAATATCATTTTGCAGTTATTATTCAGAGTATCGTGATAACATAAAGACCAAACTAGGGCACTTTGCCTAGTAGCAAGCTTTCGAATTAGCATAGCCTACCTACTTAATAGCACATTAACTCATTAACATTTAAGCTTATTGGAAAGCCTACTTGTTAGCATAGCCAACCTAGTTAGCAAGCTAACTTCCTAACCCTGCAGTGGCTTACACAGTTTTTATTCAATTGTACTAACTTCAAATTGGAAAACTAGCTTAGCTTTGAAGAAGCACAAAGGAACTTTGAAGGAAGCACAGGAGCAGCACACTGATGATGTCAGAGGGCTGTGATTGGTTGATTGCATTGTTGATCCAGGAGCATGTCCTACTTGGCAAAACGATGCTGTACCAGGAAGATAAGGTCCAGGTTCAAAGATACCAAAGTTTCCCTTCACAAAGTCTCAACAGTCAGTGGTGTTGTTGTGCAGTTGCTCACCATTTTCTTGTCAGAGGAGAAACCTACGGCCACCCAGCCATCTGTGTCTGCACTCATCTCGTACTCCACATCTGTCCCGATGCGCCGATAACTCAGAAAGTAGTCACACGTCTCTGCATCACACCCTGGCTTCCCATATCTGTGCACAGACACATGAATACTTTCACTGTAAAGGCACTGCAGAGAAACAGATCTCAGCTGAGACGCTTCACAATATTCAGAATATCATGATGACACAAAGACCAAACTTGGACACTTGTGAAATGAATTACAGCCAGGTTTCAGAGAGTAAAGACTCAGAGGAGAAGTCTGTGTTTAGCTCCAGCTCTCTGAAGTCAGGCCACAGCATCTAGGATAAAGCAGCCCCGGGGAGCACAGCTGCACTGCTCCTGTTTCAGGAAGTGGGAGCTGCCAAAAGATGCGTCCTTCTCTAACCTTATGCAGCCTTTGGTTACTCCACAGTCGCTGACTTTGATCTTGGCGAAGGGATCCACTGGTGGGGCGGTGGGGAATGGGTAACCTGCAAGATGTAAAATCAGCACTCTGTTGGTTCCACACAAAAACAATTGGTGCTTGGTTTCAAGACAGTCAAAGGGCCAAGCAGGGGGAGGCGGGCCATCTGCACTGTGTGTGTGTGTGTGTGTGTGTGTGTATGAGGAAGAGGGGGTGGGCAGCAATCACCAGGGAGCTGGCCTGGGTGCTGAAAGGCCCTGCATGGTGCAGACAGGTTGGATGCAAGAACAAATAAACAGCATATGTTCAGTTTGCAGTTTCTGTTTAATTCTACCGCTTTAAGCTTGTGTGTTATAAGTTTGTTTATTACGCATGACATTTGAGCCATATCCACCAAGACGCATTAGAGCCTTACCGTCATCAGACAGATATCTGGACTCCAGGAACTCGGAGGCGAAGGTGCTGTAGGAGTCCTTGTGAGGCTCCTGATGTCCCGGCTCTCCGTGCTCCCCGTGCCCGGCCCTGAGTGCTCCCTCGTCGGTGGGGCTCGGCGCGACCCCCCACCATCCGCTCTGGATCAGCAGCATCGTCAGCTGCGCGAGCCTCCGCAGGAAAATCATGGTCAAATGACGTCAAAAAAAAGAAGACGACTACTACACCAACCTGAAATCAAATCGGATCCTCATTGTTGTTTGAATTTCGGTATCTTCGCAAGTGCCCATCGCAGCGTCATCAAAAATCATCCCCGCATCCCGACCGCCTGTTTGGCTGTTTACGCGCAGGGATGTGGATGTGGGGGGATTCAACGCCGATGATCGCGTGATTTAGAGGCTAATCCGATCCTAAATTACCCAGATTTGTAATCGTACCACCTAATTCACATACACGCCCATAATCCGCTTTGAAATCCGAATCTAGATGCTCAGGAATGCTCATTAATCTTCACAGATTTCAGTGGGAGTATTGGCCGGATGAATGGTTTCGTCCAGCCTCCCTCTGTCCTCCCTCCTCACTCAGTCACAGTCACATCCAATGAGGAGCCGCTACGTGCTGATATCAGATCAATCAACCGGGGATTGTGCCCCATGGCCAGAGATGGAGAGGGTGTTTCACACTCAGTTCAGAGATTCAGAGTATATGGATCAGCTCAGACAACAGGAACACAAGACCATGAGAATAGACCTAAATAAATAAATACATATTGCCTATGCCCATTATATTATTATTAATTTTGTATAGTTAACTACTCAACAGTTTTGGGCCATAAAAGGAATGATTTTTAAAAATTTTATTTATCTGTATTTGTATTTATTTCATTATTTTCGTCAGGCAGAATTTGTAAAACTGAACATCAATATATTTGGTGTCAATTAGTCATAAGTACTGTATATTGCTATTCATTAACAAATGTTCAGAGAAGTTATTTCACGCTATTTTAGAAGTTACCTGGCTAACTGAGTAATCCTGCCTGGTGCAGCCCCACCTGGACTCTAGTTTCTGCAGGCAGGTGTCTGACTGATGGACATTATCTACAAAACCAAGCTGATATTCCTGCACTTTCTCATGAAGAGTGAGGTATTTCTTTTATTTATTCATTGTTTGTTTGTTTGTCTGTCAAATAAAAAAGTTGTCTGAGCCACACTCAAGTGTGCACTGTGCACAAGGAGACAATGTATGAGATATATTAAACACAAAAGAGTATATTAGATATTATTATTATTATTAAACCTGTATTATAGACATGGCAGTTTCATGTATGACCTGTGAACAAGTGGGGACTTTTTGCAATAAATTGAGTGGTATTCTTTGTTGGCATCATTTCATATCACATGGTCACGGTCAATTTGATCATTTATTTTACAAATACTTTTTTTGTAGCTTTGTTAAATCAAACTAGATTCCTCCTGAGGGAAGCTTTGCTGTAGTTTAACTTCTGCCAGTGTGAAGTAATTGGTCGCTTGCACAGCTTTCAAACTTGCTTCCCCAACACTGCATTTACACCCCTACTGTACTTCAGTACGGTTTAGAGCTACCTGTACTTTACCTGAGAATTTTTATTTTCTGCTATGTTAGACTTCTACTCCACCACATCCAAGAGACAAATATTGTACTTTATACTCCACTACATTTATCTGATAATTTTAGTTACTGGTTATTTTGCATATTCAGGTTAATAATAGAAAACAGAATCACTAACTAGCCAATATTATGATGTGATATTAAAGACTGAGACAAAACTTTAAAGATCCCTGGAGGTGAATTCATAAGCTGCCCACCAGATAAAGTATATAAATTATTTAAGATGAGATCCACCTCTACCAGCTGCAATATTACAGTGATGAACACATAAATGCATCAGTAGTTACAATTCAATAATACAATATGATATAGATTATTATTAAATGGGCCATTGTGCATAATAAGTACTTCTGCTTTTGAGCAGAGTATTTCTATGTTATAGTAGTCTCGCCACCAGACAATCAGAGATCTCTGCCTTCTGATAGTCTGGGGACACTCCTTTCTAAAGTGTGTTTAACACACCGGCGAAAACGGCCGGCAACAAAGCAACGCCTCTTACATTTTTGAAAAGGACACGCCTTCTCGGTAATGTGCGCTCCCCCTTTTCTCGTCCGCAAGGAAACAAACACACAGAGAGCTTGAAAATGGATGCCGAGAGATTTAACTCCGTTTTATCAAACGTGTGCTCATCCGTGAAGAAAATATTTTTTCCAGCGGATGTCTTAGTTACAACATGATTGAGCTAGCTGGAGTAGTTTCATGTCGTATCCGACAACGGGAGGCTTTTAACAGATGACGTCCTGATGTTAGATTTGCTGCTGCTGTTAGCT